CACACACACACACACACACACACACACACACACACACACACACATCACACACACACACACACACACACACACACACACACACACACACACAGTGTATATATGAAAAAAGTAGAATTCTGTCCGTTTCTGCTCATTCTGGACTGTTTCTTGTTTTTAAGCTTTCTTCATATTTTTATTTTTCAGTATCAATATTTTCAATATTTTTTGTGTATCACTAATCATCAAACAACATTAACTGTAAAAGTGCTCTAGTGATTTGGCTGCAGAACAGAAAAAAAGCCCATGTTCATCTAAATGTGTAGATCATACATTAGTGTCGGTAACCGGGGCGGTAGCCACACGTCTCCTCGGTGAAAACGAGCCTAGAAGTTGTGAAAAAGCGTGAACTTCTGCAGCGGCTTCATTTGGTTGGTTTTTAGTGGTGTGTGTGTGTGTGTGTGTGTGTGTGTGTGTGTGTGTGTGTGTGTGTGTGTGTGTGCGCGCGCTAGAGGACAGTGTAATATTGTTTCAGAGCCTAGTGCTCGGGACGGAGCTAACACCTGAATGAACCTGTCACTGCAGACACATTGCTTTTTCAGCTCCAGTGATTACACTGCACCAAAACACACTCAACAATTTTTGGACAGTTCCTTGTACAAGTGTGTGTGTGTGTGTGTGTGCGTGTGTGTGTGTGTGCGTGTGTGTGTGTGTGCGTGCGTGTGTTGCATTGGTTGGACAGAGGGAGGAGCGTGTTGCACGTGCACTGTCTGTGTTTGCGTGTCTTCGAGAGTGAGAAGACAGCAACAGAGAGTGAGAGTGACAGGGTATTGTGTCTCGGTCTGCATGTGTGTACACCTGTGTAGTGTTTGCAGGTTATCCGTGTAAAATTTCAAATGGGGGCGGTGCTAATGTGTCCTTTCAGATTAAACAACACGGAACATGGCGGTTGCAAAGAATACGTACTTACACGGAGGACTCTAAATAAAACGTCTAATATCTTTACTTCCATCATGAATGTCTTCTTTCTCACTTCATCATGTCATCAGTTTTTGTTGATAGCAAACCTCATTACAACATGAAGGGCAATCATCTTTTCTCTTATTCAACACAGTGCACTAATTCGATGTTGTTTACCTTTAGCCGTCATGTTTCGGCCGAACGTCCGCCTTCGTCAGAGCAGCCAGCTGTTCGTGGCGTTGCTTCCGTTTACGTGGGGGCAGCAGAGGACGATGTCGCCCTCCGCGTACTCCTGTGTGACGTACTGTAATGAAAAATGATGTTCTGCTGGTAAAAACATAAAATAAAATGAGAAAGCTACAGAGTTTTTAAAGATAAATACAATGAAAATGCATTTTATTGTCACTTGACTGATGAAAACACGATTATTGATATTGCAGTACGGTTTAGATTGCTGCTTTGTCTGTGTCGGACTCTGATATCTGAAGGGAACTGCAGAACAAGCAGCTCTCCTCTAAAGGAGCGCTATAATAACTACCTGATTTCAGGTCTGGTCTGATAAGAGACCCAAGCGACGGTGGATACAGGAGACAAATGATGACAGGGAGCCTGGCACGATGGGGAAGTGAACGAGGTCAAGGGGAGCTGACATCCATCAGTTTCTCCTCCTTAATCCAGCTTTGTAACACATCACTCACCCCGTCTCTGCAGACTAACGCACGGCGTCCCTCAGACAGACAGCAGGTACCAGCCCAGCTGCTGGATCTGACCTGTAATTTACAGCATCGTGTGTGTTTTTTATCTCATAGGCTTAAACATGTTTAAACTGGGTTGTGGATATGTTTTGGGTGTTGATGGATTACAACAGTTTATGTGTTTAGTTTTGTTTTCATGGAGCGGTCAGTCGACCAGCAACAGAATGATTGTTGGTTACTGAACTGAATCTAGATTATTATCGCTCTCGTCGCTGTGGAACAGTCGGCGGTGGAGTGTGTTGAACGTTTTACCGTTTGTGTTGCACTGAGTGTGAACTGGGAGTATTTGCTGTTGGTATCTGAACCCGTAAGAGGTTTTGTCTCATTGTGACGAACACACGTTAGGCGTATCGAGTTTTTATGTCTCTTTGCTCTCAAAGTAACATCAACGCACCCTGCTGGGATTAGTTTTGTACGTCCTTCAATTCCTGTCAAGCAATTTTAACTGATTCTAAACCTGACCACAGTCCCTCCAGTCATGTGTGTGTGCGTGTGCGTGTGTGTGTGTGTGTGTGTGTGTGTGTGTGTGTGTGCGTGTGTGTGTCTGTGTGTGTGTGTGTCTGTGTGCGCGTGACCGTGTGTGTGTGTGTGTGTTCTAGTTGTGTTAAGTTCTAACTTTCATTTTAAGAACTCAGAGGAAAATTTAAACTAATTTCTAGACAAATGATTGTGTTGAGAGCACAATTTTATGCTAAAACCTTTGAAAATGCTCATCCTCGCTTTCTGTGTTCCCTGATTGTCAAAGAATCATAAGAAACCAATAAATATGTTGAATACTTCCCTCAGACGTTTTCTTCTTGCTTTCGCAGCTTAGACAGCTCCTCGTACAAGGTGATGCAGCTGGACTTTGAGGTGGACAACGTGATTAACTTGGTGCCGACGCAGACTCTACACTGGACGGTGGAATACCCCTCCAGCACACAGACGGCTCCAAGGCAAGTGGAGAAAGTCTCGCACCTCTACATCAGCAACGCCGACATCCAGGGCATCGTCCCACTGGCTCAGGTGAGTTTGGATTTACCAGATTATCTTCCTCCTCCTATCAGCCATCTTGTTGATTGCTGGCCTTACCCTGTATCTCCAGGGTAACCGACGTTTTAAAGGTCATGTCTTTCACCCCTGGCTGTTGCTACAGATCCTCTAGGCACACATGAGTGTTCACACAAGCGCAATGAGCAGGCTTGTTCCTAAAACGTTTATAAGTTATCAGCGGCGTTGTGTGGAGGCAGACTTGTAACTGAAAGCTTTTCTTCACTCGTCATCAAACTTGCTTTTTAGTTGCATTCCATCTAAACCGTTATTACTGTTTAATCTGAAGTCAGTTTAAAAAGACGAACCACATTCTTTCATGTAAGATTCTATTTCAATGCTCCACTTCAGGTTGAAGATTCTATTTTCTACTCTATTTGGGTAAAGCTCCACCGTTATGTTACGTGTTCACAACTCATAGATGGAAGTTCTTCTTTCAGCTCAACCTCGGGCTAAAACGAGGAGCTCCCGTTTCCATTAGCACTGAGGTAGAGCTAATCTGGCCTGATGTCCCTCCTTCAAACAGCAAAGCCCCGGTGACAAAACCCAGTTTTCTCAAGAGTTCTGCTCTTTACGGAGAATCTGATCAGAACTGGGAAGGCTCGCAACTTTTGTAAATGGAGTCAGTTAAAAACATTCCCACCGCCATAGTCATTATTATTATGGATGCTTTTACTCGTGCTGTTTTCTATGGAAGTGGATGAGTGCCCGACTTTCAACTTTTCTTTTGCTAAAGAAAAACTACTTATTAACACAAGTAAAGCTATGCAATTAATCTTACTGTAAAGGAGACGTGTTGTGCTAAACTCACCATTTAAATCCTTTTGTGCTGCCACGTGCATCTTTTCTGCTTCTATAAACACTCCAGACCTGAAAAATTTCCATCCATCTGTTTACTTTCAGTGTTTGGTGTCAGGACCTGTGTGCCTAAAACAAGCCGTTTCAAAAAGTCCCTGTTTGTGATGTCACAAATGGGGAAATTATAGTGGAACTACCTCTGACCTGCAAGACAGGTGCTCCCGGATATCAGAGCTTCTCGACCTTTAGCAGCCTGAGTGGGAATGGGTGTGAGTGGTCAGCTCCAGCTAGGTTGATTTCTTAAAGTGACAGAGTTCTGACATGGCTCATTATGGAAGGTACTGAAAATATCAAGTATGAAAAATCACTGATATTACTTCATCTGAAAGGGGTTTATTGCAAATATCTTCAGAAACTTGCAACTTAAAGGAGTATTTTCTAATTTTCCTTTAGCCAGTATGTGCTAAACTGAGTCTTTACAGGGTTAATGAAAGGCCATCTAGCCCTTATCACCTCTTGTGGCCAGAATATTCCACTTGCAACTTCAGACTGGCAGGCTGCTCTGTTGGGACTTAAAATTGAGCTGACTTACGTGGTACTGCAGTCTGGTTCTAGCATGTTCTAGATCATGAACACAGCTGACAAGTTTCATTTAGTGATCTATCACTCCTGTAGACACTAATGAAGGCTGGGGAGACATTCCAGCTGTTAGATTAAGGTGTTATCCTTAAACTTAAATTCAAAAAAGGAAAAGGAAAACTTTTGGGTGTTTTAGTCGCTTAAATATATTTATTTAATCAGATAAATATTTATTTTGCCATTTTTATTGTATGAAACAAGAATGATTATGAGACACAACAGCAAATCCTTCCTAACAGTTGTCCCATGACATTTAAACAAGTATTTATTAAAACAGGCGTTCCCAACCCGCGTTCTATACACAAGCATCAGACTGACTGATTTTCATAAAAACAAATACACGCCGGAGCAAACAGCAACATTTTTCTGTGCGTACTCATATCTGCACAACCAATTTTCTATTCCTCCCTTCATCTCGCTTTTGGCTCTCTCCTTAGGTAAAAGCATCGAAATAGCTCCTATTACAAGCCATTTGGGCTTCCTGATTTGTTTACCAGCGCTCTCGGCCAGGTGTTGATTATTGGTTGGTTGTTTAAGGTGTGTGTCACTGAGAGGGGTTGTTGTGATAGGTCGCCAAGATGAAAGCTTCATTTTTCTCTGGTCTTTGAAGTAAGGAAAAGTAAAGGGATGGAATTAAGAGCCGGAGGCGTATCTTCAAAGAGAGCTACATGTGAAAGCTCTAAGAGTTTTACATCGTCCAGTTTAAACAATTTCACATCTGAGAACCAGACTTTGTACAAATCAGAAATACAACTATAGTAAATTGTCGAATTTCTCTCTGAGCTGTTTGAAAAACCGCCTGAAAGCTTGGCTTCTCAGCTAATTGCATCAGGTGTGCTTTCTGCTGGTTTAGAAAAACTGTTGGTGTGATCCGACTCCACCTCAGCCATCAGCTGCCACCTCTGTGTTAAGAGTCAGCTCATCAACAGAGCTGATGGGTCGGTACAGGGTAGAGTTCTGGTTTTTAAAGCAACTATCAAGTAATGCCTTCAAAAATAGGCCCCTGTTCAACATTTAATACCACATAACCAGTTAAGTCTCTCTGAAGGTGGAAAACATAATCCCATTCTGGGAAATGAGAGATTATTAGTCATTTTTCTTTAGTGCGGGCAAAGAAAAAAAGTTTTATTTCTGCGTATAACTGAGAGGTGAGTTTAGGGAGACAAAAGGAGAACCACAGGAGATGGAAAATAAGCCAACAGACATTAACTAATTAAATTTAATTAGGAGAGTCATTTAGTACGGTTAAGATGAATGTTGCTTTTTGTCGCTGGTGTCTGTAAATACCCAAACATCGTTCTTCCTCCTTTGCTTTTTTCCTTTGTTGTCTTCACACACACATAATTAGCATTAGTCAAAATGTTGAAACATGACCACTTACCAATGGCGTATCAAACCGTTTTTTATGAAACCAAACCCACGATTAATAACAGTTTCAGCACCAAGGACAGCTCCACAGAGTATGCTTAGTTGTGTTCTGTTTTTTAGATTATTTTGCATTTAGATGCTAATATTTTACCCAATTAACAGAAAGCATCTCTCTGTTAGCCTGGCAAGCCAGACAACGCTCCATTGACGGCTCTCGGTTGTGTGTGTGTGTGTGTGTGTGTGTGTGTGGGGGGGGGGGTGTTCTACCGTTGTCTTTCAAATGATCTCCGCATTCCACTGGACAATGAATGTGACATCCTCTTGTTTCACTCTGTTGCATCATCCCACCCACCAGGCATATAGAGCGCCCTGATTGGCCCACAAAGCGGATAAAGCTCTGTGATTTGTTCACTAAGCAGATAGAGCACTATGATTGGCCCACCATTATGGACCAATCACAGCTCTTTATGTGTTTGAAACCCCTCTAGAGAGCTGTGATTGGCCAGCCAGAATGCTGTTGGGGCTGCAGAGGTTCCAGTGGAGCGTTCCTAGACCAAACTTTGCAAAGCAAGAATTTGGTCTAGTTCACTAAGCCATCTCTCTGTGGCAGTTACCTGGTAACGTGGGCAGAAAGGAAGTAAAAGCAGGTGAACCGAACCGTAACCCTTACCCAGCCGGTAGACAACTAGAACACAAACATGAGTCAACAATTTACTTTGTTTCTTGTGGTCTTGGAGGTCCTTTAGTTTTTGTAGATTGGACAATTTTAATGTTCCTTGGCTTCCCTTCCCATTTCCCATGAGATGTTTAATTTTTACCTGTTAGTAAAAGTCTTCTGTTGCTTTTCACCAACGTTTCTCTCTAAAGAAAACATGTAAACATCCCCATCTCCTCTCTTTACCTTCATCCCTTCTCCTTCACCCCAGGCTTTTTCTTTTATTTTGTGGTCTTCACTTCTGCTACGCTATCTGCCCCGTTGCGTCTTCATCCTCTGTCTCTGACCCTTTTTATTTCTCTACAGAGCTTCACCTCTCTCAGAGGCTTTGCTGTGTAATTAATTCTTAATTAGAACACATGTTTATCTTTGTTGCTTTAAGATGCTCGTGCGTACGTGGGCATGTGCAGACCTCTTAGCAGGGCAGTTATGCTAAGTGGCTTCTTAATTTACCTCTCTGATTTGTTCTGTGTAAAAGGAAGTTAGTCAGCACGAAAAAGAAACTGAAAAATCAATAGTTTGTTGATGAAACCACACAAGCACACACAATGTTCAAGCTCAATTATAGATTTAGCATTTTCACTGTCTGGCTGTTCATTAAAAGCATTCTTTCCATCCTGTTTCTGTTGTTTTTCTCCTCTTTCTTGACTTTATGTCTTGATCTATTGTTTTCTAAACATCTTTATTTTCTGAGTGTTTGTCTTCCTGCAATGGTTCAAATAGGTGTTTCTTAATTTACACTGACATTCAGGAAAATGCAGCAAAATCAGTCACGTGCCCTCCCTAAGACGTGTCCATCACTTTCCCTGCACCCAGCTAGGATTGAACTTGTTTCTGTCTCACAGAAAAGCCTTTTTTGTTGTTGTTGCTAAATCCCAAGGTCCCCTAAACATTTTATTCATTTATTTACTGTCCCAAAAAAATCATAAAGTTTAGCAGATTTGGTGCACATGTGTGACTCACACGGTCTTATGATTACGTTACTGCTGTAGAGATTTTCTTATCAGATAATCCTACCATGTGTGGTGTGTTAGAGTGCTCTGGTCCGTTCAGAAGGACGTTGGAACCGCTCCGATCATAAATCCAGACTTTCAGACATGATGGATTGTCTTGGTCTGGTTTTCTGTGATAGACAAACATGTTGCCTGTGACGTGTAGCCAATCATAAAGCAAGGCGATGGAGGCTCACTGTGCTTCCCTCTGCCACCATGTTTGTTTACTTGAAAGTCATGTTTGATATTGCATCATTTCCTGTCTCAGCGGTAAATGCCCTTGAGCAAAAGCAGGTTGTGTGCAGTGTGTGGTTTTTGCTGCGATGCACACCACACACTGTAGAACCAGAACTCGTACGTCTGACGTGTATTATCGACATGCGAGGTGTCATTGTTTTAAAAACCCTGATGTGTTAACTGGACTTTAGAATTTTAGGCTAAACCAATACGTTATTAAAATGTCA